TTTTTTGCAGATGAAAATGCTGAAAACCACTACTCTAAAAATATTTCTCCTGAGATTAAGGGCTGAAAAAACATCCCATCCAGTTTTCTTTCTGTACCGACTGAAAGATAGTATGCGCGTCAGGATGCTGGTTTGGTGAATGTTACTCTTGGAGGACTTTTGGAGGAGTGGTTTACAGACAGTCAAAATAATTCCTTTTTTTTTTTTTTTAAACTTATTTCTGTGCATTTCTCTATTCTTTCTGGCCCCCTCACTTTTTAACAAGGTTGTACTTAGAGCTCTTTTTTTGACCTTTCTTCTTTTTTAATCTCAACAGAAAATAACATACAGTTGAAAAGGACAGGAGAATACAGCTGGACACTGCTATTTCTGCTCTTGCACGTAACACATTACTACTGTTAGTCACAGAGGTCACTACTAAGTTAATCACTACTACGGTGTTAGACTCCAACAGCTCTGTATGTGGAATATTTTCCTGAAACTTTGCCAATTTGTAGCAATCACTTGTCTCTTGGTGGGGAGGAGAGAGGAAAGGCACCGTGAAGGTATCTGTGTTTAAAAACATCATTTTAGTCTTTCTCTGAAATCAAGTTTACAATACTTGAATGTTACTAGAGGGTTTACAAGATTAAACAAGCTGTATGTATCAGAGCTGCGTTATGATAATTAAAATACTTTCCCATATGATTTGGGTTTTTTTTAATTTCTAATCCATCATTGAGTATGATTAAACTGGTAACAGTCAGTTGCATTCAACTTCTGGCTGATGTCCAGGACCTGTAACTAGTTGGCAGCTTGTCTGCAGTTCTGTAGTCCTTGTGCATAAGTAGTTAATGGGTTTTTGTTTTCTTCGGTGTGTTTTCCATTTTCTGCAGGGAGCAGCATATGTGGAATTTGATGTACATCTTTCAAAAGATCACGTGCCTATAGTATACCACGATCTCACGTGTTGCATGGCCATGAAAAAGGTAAAGATGTTGACAATCTTTATTTTAGTTTTATATATGACCATTCGAGAAACTAAAAGGCCAGGCTCTCGTAGAAGTAATTCTGGGGAATCAAGGGATGGAATGGGAGTAAACATGCAGCGCTACCGTATACATAATGCAGAGCGGGGAAGTTTAGTTTTTCCATCTGAGGTTGTAGCAACCACATTTCAGATACATGGTTTGAGACTCTTCAAGCCTACATGTAGTTCTTTTTAGCTTCTTTTATTTACGGTTTGGAAGAAAAATGCAGACAACTCCAGTACATTCAGTAGCACCTGTGGGACACTTCTAGACTGTCCGAGTAAGAACTTCTGGTGGTTTCTGTTTTGAGGAAGAACCAGTGTGATTCTCAGCGTGACTTCTCTGTCCTGCTGATACTTAAATCTGTACTTCTCTCAAGCAGTGACGTACTCGTAAATGCTCTTCAGGCCAAACCAGTCTACTTTGTTTGCTGCCCCTCTAGTGGCCAGTCGATGGAAAGCAGAGAAGTGGGAGAAACAAGGATCATTTAGGGAGTTTTGAGCCATAAATGGCTTCGTTTTTCTAACTCTTTCTTTAACCCTTTTTTCTTCTTAATTTTGTCTGTCCTTTAACTGCGCGGTAAATAATACACTTCATATCTCATTAGGACAGTAAGTGAGGCTGAAGAACTGCTTTTGGATTGCTTTGTGGAACGGAAGGAAAGGAGTTAAGAGGGAGGTTGTAGGAGCAGGAAAATGGCCCTTGAAAGCAAGCATCCTGTTCCTTTCCTTGCTTACCTCGTGAGGTTGCAGTTGGTTTTCCTTCTTTTTTAACCAGAAACTCTTTTCTCCTGTTTTTGTAAGCAGCAGGGGTACTATAACATAAGAAGCAGTGAACAGTGCTGTTACTTGTACATCCAGACAAGCATTCCTTAAAAGGTGCTCTGATGAGACTAGCACAGGACCTCTTAAATACCCCAGTTGTATGAAGCATAACAAGTGAGTGTTTTCAGAGAGTGTAGTGATACGACACCCCCTGAAAACGAGAGAACCGTAGGCGTAATACCGGAGACTGGAAAAAACCCCACTGAGGTGCTGTTCTGTCTGGTCTGTGCCTGTTCTCCGCTGAGGCCAGAATACCTGCATTCAGCAGCAGAGGTTGGACTCTCTTCCGTTCTAGTTTTCTTCCTTTCTGGTTCTGGCAGTGAGAACAGAGATAGCATCTTCTTGGCACCAAGTCTGCATCATCAAACTCATTGCGGTGTTGAAATTCATAAGAAGTTTGGGTTTGAACAGCTGTGGAAATGGATCTTTGACTAAGGGAAATGCATATTCAATGTATATTGAATCAGTACTGTCTTTGTTGAGTAAAAATTGGTTTTGTAGTGAAGAGGGGAAGTGAAAAATGGATGGGGAGAATTTTTTTTGACCCTAGATCTTTATTTTGGGGGCAGAGTGTGTGTGTTTAATAGGAAACTTTTATTAGTTTCTGAGATACTGGATAAACAATAGTAAAGTGAATTGCCTTGGAATATTTTTTTAATGCGTTTCTTTACTTGCAACCTTTTTCCTGAATACATTATAACTGATCAAGTTTTTGCAGAATAAATGTGCTAACCTCTTCTGAAGAAAGAACGCTGAAGCCTCTGACTTGCATGAAAGACCAGATCCTGGTTTTTTTCAAACTGACACCTGTCAGTGCTTCTGAGTGTCTTTGTTGTCTCTTGAAAACTGATCATCTTACTCTTGTTATAATAATCACTTGTGTCTATCAATAAAAGAGAAAAAATTAGCTGCCTTTTATGTTACCATATTAAAAGCATATGGGCTTTTTTGTAGTTTTCAATGATGGTTAATTACGTGTTTTTCTTCAAAGAAACTGGATACAGAGCCTTTGGAACTGTTTGAGATTGCAGTCAAAGAACTCACGTTTGATCAGCTTCAATTACTGAAGGTATTGTTACTCCGGCTAGTATGATACGCTGGACGTAGAATTTCAGATTGTGCATGAAGCTTAGATTTTTTTTTTTTCCTAGTAGCTGTCGATAGTTTGGGAGAGCACGAGTTTTAAACATTGTGCAAGTAGAACGAGTAGTTGATTCCAAGAATAGTACTTTTGCACCATCATTACGACTTGAGTAAATTTCGTTACTTCTGTCTTCTAGAAGGATGGCCTGACAGCTTGCGTAGTTCCATGTCATTATGCTAGCACTGATAATTTTTAATCAATAAAAAAGGCTGGAAGTGGTGGTAGGGTTCATTGAAAGCCAGTGCTTTGGACTCTGTCTTGAAGAAAGTTATCTGTCACCAAGTCTATTTAATTTCCAAATGTTTCCCTGGTAACAAGGGAGATGCATATTATGTTGAACTGCTGTTTGGAGGTGCATGTGAAGGGGTAGACAGGTCCATGATCCAGTGGTATGGATTGGACCAACTGGCTAGAACTAATTGATTGTTTTTATTTAATTGGGTGTCGCTGTGTCTTTGGAACAGAAGTGCCCTGCCTACATAAAAGGGGGGGGTCAGGGGATGAAACTGGGCCACTGAAGACCCAGCTGAGATATCTGTCCTCAGTCAAGGAAGCACCTGGCTGATCCAAGAACTATAGGTTTCTTTTTACTTAAAATTACTTGGTCTCCTCCTTTTTTTGGACAGAGAGTTTGAATGGAGTGAGGGAGTTGGCCCTATGCCTGACCTGATTCTATCTCAGTATGTGACTACATTATAAATCTGCTGTCGGCCCTCTGTCTGCATGTCTAACATCTGACAGAGGAGGGTTTAACGTGCCGATTTCTTCACATCTTAATCTTAAATTATGCGTGTTTCTACCCTTGAACATGCTTTCTGAATTTTCAGTATGAACGATTTGTTTGGTTTTGAGCTTTCCTTGGAATCTTTGTTTTAAAGTTTGAAAGAAAATTGTGACATGTACTGGGATTTCCTTTATTCCTTTACAAATTACTAAAATATTTTTAAGGTCCATTTTTTAAATGGACTTTTAAACTTAAAAACAATTTATAAGGAGAATCAGTTACGTTCTACATGTAGTAAGGTGTCTATAGGTAGAGTTAATTTTACTCTTCTTATGCTCTTTAGCTGGCTCACGTGACTGCCCTGAAAGTAAAAGATCACAATGGTATGTACTAGTTTGCAAGAGTCTTGAGATTGATTTATTACCATGTAACGATGCGTATTCTGTGGCTGCAGTCACTTGTTCTAATAATATTTGGCTTCTTCCTGGACGTTTCTAAATGCTGTGGAGTTCTTTGCTGGGAAGTACATACCTGGGCAGAAGTTAGTCCCTTGGAAAGAGGGGACAGGAGGGGAGAAGACGAATGCACAGATCAATAAATAAATGAATATTCATAACAAAATTGCCACTAATGTTTCCATCTCACGCTTCTGTAACTGTACAGTTTGGGCAGCTTTTCAGAATTGCTAACAAGAACTTTAACTACTGTGGGGTGTCTTACTGGTGCTGTAAATTTTTTGCCGTAATTCATGCCCCTTAGGCATGGAAACTAGCAAAGTACCTCACACGTTCTACCTGTCTGGGGAAAGATGAAATAAATAATAAGCACTGACAGGTAAGGCAGCTTCTACTAGGTATCCTTCAGCGACTGAAACCAAGAGGGGTGGGAGAAGCTGTTTCTGGTAAATACTCCGGCAAGGCTTTCAGTGGCGTCAAAAAATTTTTCCACTGCAAGACAGAGCTTGCCAACATCATTTGGGAGTGTGACAGTGTTAGAGGGAAGGCTTAGGTAATCAAAAGTTAGACCTGATTCCATTCTTGACTCTTAAAGGTCTTAGGATTTCGAACCAGTCTTTTCTTGCTGGGATTAGCAGTGCTGCTGTTTGTTTTGATTAAATATTTTGTATCTCTTTTCAGCATCTTTTAAAGAAGAGGAAAACAACTCTGCTTTTGAGACACAGCCATTTCCTTCCCTTCAGAGAGTAAGTAATGAGTACAGAACAATAGAGATGATGATTGTGGAACGTGAAAACATGCATTTTGCTTTCAGCATTGCGCACGTAGCAAGGGATATTAATTTTTTTTGGTTTAGGTCTTCGATATCTATGTTGGAGCTCAGAATGTAGGCTTTATTGTTGGCCACTGGAGCCTCTTCAGCACTTAGAAGTAATAGTTCTCAAATCTTTCAAGCTTCTTAATTTATGAACCCAAGTTATATAGCTCAAGGGACACTCAGTTGTACAGCTGGGTGATGCTTGGGCTTTGCCTTTTAATGCACTGACAATTGTTTGCCGATTTTGAAAAAAAACAGCCTCTGGCATTTCATCACATACTCTTGGCCATCTAGCCGAGCCAGACACAGAGAAATATTAAATGAACTTACAGTATGTTCCCATTTATGACCATTTGCCAGCTCTGGGCTTTGTGTTGGCTTGCTTTTCACAGAAACTGCTGACAGCTGTTGGCCACATACAGTTTGATACCATTTATGGTCGTTTGAGACGATTACAGGGTGTTTTTTTCCTAGAGCTGCTTTTTTTTCCCTCCCCCTTACTGTTTTTCCTCATGTCTGAATTGCTGATTAACATGCCTTTTAGGGACTTGTTTTATCCAATAATACTGCTTTTTATTTGGATTATGGAGATGATTAATACCCAGTTGACTTGCATTTGTACCTTGTCAAAATTTTGTCCTCAAGATTTCATGCATTTTCATGTATTTCCTGACTTTAAACTGAAGTAGAAAAAGGTGTGTATGTATAAAAGGTGTGTATGTATTCTGTGTTAAACATCAAAAACTGCAGGTTTTTATCCTACTGTTAGAGCCATCGGGGTTAAATTCCAACGTATTCTCCCAGTAATTACCCTCAGTAGTGCTTAATTGTCTTCCTTTACTGTGGGCTCTCTTCATAATGAAACTTTTTCAGGTCCTGGAGTCTGTTTCTGAAGATGTTGGGTTTAACATAGAAATAAAATGGATCTGCCAACAAAGAGTGAGTAAATGTACCTGTGATTTACTTTGATACTTTGCCTTTCTCATGGCTAAAGCTTGTCATTTTGACGTGGGAATTTATGAGCTACAAACAGACAGAATTTGGGGTTCTTATATGTGATGCTTTTGTTTTCCTATAACCCACTGTCTTTAAAAGTGGGAGTATAATAGCACTGCTCTAGCCAATGAACCAACTTTTAAAACGACGGGAAGTATGTGTAGGATTGAGTTTATATTGCATCTCGGAATGCTTTTAGTAGAAGACCCTTTTTTAAGGGAATTGATCACACCATGAGAGACATGCGAGACGTGGGAAAAGTGACAAGAAATTCAAAGTTGCAGTAACACAAGCAACTGTTTCCTTCTAGTCCACAGTATGTGGACTCAGCTGGATTGCTTAGTGCTCGGTGTAGAAGGAAGTGGTTGTCTTGGCTAGGACTGGAAGCCTGGAGTGGGGGAAAAGCTGAGTGTTAGATAGAAGTCCATACGCACAGAGACATGCTGATGCTCTCAGAGGTGGGCCAACTGCAGAAAGACTGGTACCTGCTCTTCTCAAAGACAAGGGACGTCACATTTTTTCCTACAAATTTTCTTGTTGCCTTTTTTATATTTAGAAATAGCAATACAAGGTACCTGTAATAGTTTTTAGTGATCCTTCATGGAATTTCTTCGTGTTTTCAAAATTGGAAAAGGCTTCACAGAAACTCCCTGGATGGGAAGATGGTGAATGATTCAGTGAACCTTACCGCTGTTAGGATTCAGCTGCACCTCACAGCCTGACGGTCCTGTACAACTGTGAATAGCAGTCGACTGACTGCTATTCTGTGACTAACTGTGACTCCGCTGTTAGGATTCAGCTGCACCTCGCAGCCTGACGGTCCTGTACAATTGTGAATAGCAGTCAGTCACAGAGCAGAAGGGGTTGGAAGGGACCTCTGGAGATCATCTAGTCCAACCCCTCTGCCAGAGCAAGGTCACCTCGAGCAGATAGACTGAAGGGAGTGACTTCTGTACTCAGACTTGCAAACTGGATTCTCCTGTTGCTCAGGCTGAACGAGAGACCACTGCTTGTTAAAATGATTTTAGTAAGCATTAATTGAAAGGGCTGAAACTTGTTTCTTTTTCTAGGATGGACAGTGGGATGGCAACTTGTCGTCTTACTTTGATATGAACCTCTTTCTAGATATTATCCTAAAAACTGTTTTGATGAATGCTGGAAGAAGAAGAATTGTATTTTCTTCTTTTAATGCAGATATTTGTACCATGTAAGTTGAAATAAATACAGTATTTTCTTTCTTTTTTTTTTCATTTGGTAAATTTTATTTCAGACATAAGAATACCCAACAGGAAACGAATCGTATGTTTTGGTTACACCTAAACTTTGTGTGCAAAAATATTTGGCAGTGGAACCGAGACCATTTAGACATGTGAGCTGTGCCAAAAATAAAATAGAACAAAGCCAAACTAGGTCTTTGTTAAGTGCCTTCGTGAGTGCTTCAGTCTTTCTTGATACAACCAAACAGTCAAGATTTCCTCTGGCATCACAAAGTCGTCATTACATAGTCATATCTGAGGGGTTCACAAGCCTAACTTGCAGAGAAAATCATCTCGTTACAATTTTTTCACTCTATCTGCTTTTTAAAAAGGACAGAAAATGAAACAGCTTTGGATGACTTGTGTTACGTTTGAGTTTTTTTGTGGCGTGGTAGTGGTGTTTGGTGGTTTTTTTTAGTTGTGGGGTTGTTCTTTTGTTTGGTTGGGGTTTTGTTAAGCTGTCTGCTCTCCTTCTGTGTCATGTCGTATTGAAGGTATTGGGGCACAGAAAAAGCACAGGAGTTGAACTGGGGAGCAAACGGAGGGATTACATAGGAACTATAAGAAGAAGGGATTTAGCGCTGGCAAGGAAAGGCTTTCTAGAAATCCCATTTGATGGGAGGCTGCGCTGGTGAAATACCACTGAAGGGTACATGGGCAGAACAAAACCAAATCAAAGTACTGATAGAAGGGTTAAGAAGCAAGTGTGTAAGAGTACGTAACGGTACTCCCCAAGCTCTGCTTCCATCGATTGTCACTTTGTACCACTGTACTGGTATCTGACTGGAAAAATACATTAGTGTGCTTAGGTGGTGTATATTAAACATGTTTAGAAATTCTTACAATGGGCCTTTGTTTTACTCTACCATGCATTTAAGAAGAAAACTACAGAATTGGACAGGTCGAGGATTTTAGGTCAACATTTTGAGGATGTGGATCTGAGGTAGAAGTCTAGCTTCCCATAAACTGTATGTTAATCTCTAGTAGTGGCCAAAGGAACAGTTGGAGCAGTTTGTCACACAATTTGACACTAAATTGTAGTACCACCTCATTGCACCAGCTAGGAACTAGGACGTACGTACAGTGAAGAAAGAAATTCTCCTCAAACAGTAAGATTGAATTCCTCTGCTTTTTATCACGTTTGCTACTTGTGAACTTGTTTTTTTCTAACAGGGTTCGGCATAAGCAAAACAAGTATCCGGTGTTATTTCTCACCCAAGGAGAATCTAAACTGTATCCAGAACTTATGGATCTTCGATCTCGTACAACTCCAATTGCCATTACTTTTGCACAGTTTGAAAACTTGCTGGTAAGATGATAGGTTCTGTTATTACTCTGCAGTAAAATGAAACTACATCATTAGTACCTGATGTAAATCTTTCATTTTGAACACTAATGCTTAAAATTACAACTAACTTCGTAAAAGAAAAACACTAACATTTGGTAACTCCCACAATAATGTCCTTTGTTTCAAATGTCTGTTTAATACATTGTTTAAAAAATAATGCTATCAGTAAAATCTTTAATTGTATTAACATTTTTTTAATCTTACGGATGAAATTGTGAATAGCTCCAAGTGTCAGAAGATAAAGAAAACCTGATGTGTGTTCAGAAACATGGATTTTAATTGAGGTCTTTTGTATTTCAGGGAATTAATGTCCACTCTGAAGACCTACTGAGGAATCCATCATTTATTAAAAGGGCCAAATCTAAAGGCCTAGTTATTTTTTCATGGGGTGATGATGCAAATGACCCAGATAACAGGAAAAAGTTGAGAGAATATGGTGTTCATGGGTTAATATATGACAGGTACTTAATTGTGTTTAAATAATAATAATAGTAAAGCAGCTGAGAAACTATTCTGATTCTTGTGAAATTTCACATTGCTTTTTAGTTGACTGGGTGCAGAATATCTTCTTTTTGTACTTACAGTACAAAAAGCCCATAAACCCAGCTCAAGAACAAGACTCACACTAATTCCTACTCTTTCAGCTGTTTATATGAAGCAACATAACTTTTATTTCTCCGAAGATTAATGTCAATGTAATTTGATTCTTGTGCCTGGTGTACACATGTAATATACTGCTAACATTCCTGTTGGTAATTTGTACATGACATTGTAAGGAATTCGTTATATGGATTTTTAATATATATATGTGTGTGTGTTATATATATATTATTGTATTAACAATCTTTAAAACATACGTACTATTATCAATCATATATATATTATACAATATTTGTCTGAAATCTTCAGCTTTCTACATTTAGTTATGGAATTGGTTAACACAACTGATTAACGCAACTAACATTTTGTTGTGTTTCAAAGCTGTGAATTCACTGTTTTTCCTATTAAAATTAGCTTGGAGTGACTCCCAGGGCAAACTCTACCAAATTAAGTCACTTCAGAAAGTAGTTCCGTCCACACGATTCAGGTGGACGTCAGAATACTGTGGTAAATCTTTGAACTGTGTTATACTTCCTTACAGACCCCAAACGTTTTAGTTCTTTTCTTGTAAAAGATGTGAAATTCATTATTACAAGTTGATGATTAATTTGGGCTGTATCAAATTAGAGTTTCTGATAGATTGCAAAGCATGTGTAATTGGGGAAGCATTAAAGGTAATTGAAGGGTGTAATTATGGAAGAGTTACAAACCACCTGCTTCAGCAAGGGCATTGCTCTGCATATTTTATCTAAAAAAAAGGAGGGTGGGAATTAAGTAGTTGTCAAGGACTCAGTTTTATAAAGTCAGAGGGGGTGAAGCCAACCTATCTAGAGGCAAGAAATATGTTTGCTTGGAGAGTTCTATGCTCCCCATGTAAAAAAACCCCAAAGTTGACTCACTTCGACCTATTCTTGCTTAGTGAGAGTCTTACCAGAGTGGTGGGTATGGTGCTCCTCTGGTTTGACAGAGGTGTCCCTTCTTGTGCTGTACAGAATCTCTCCTTTCACTGGTGGTGAAAAGGAATAACAAGATTTTCACATTGGAGATCAACTTCAGAATGAAGCAGGTGAAACATAGGTCCTCTTTCCTGCTACGTGTTGTACCTCTCCAGCAGCGCAAGATTGAAGCACCTTTAGTGAAGTATCTCTGGAGTAGTGTGCAGATAAAACGGTACTCGGAGTCTGTAGTGGATGGTCACAGGGTTGTTAGGAAATTTGATCCTGTGGCGTGCGTAACTTGGAGTGATGACTTGCTGATCTGTCATATGGTCTGTATTACAGAGGGGTGTTTTAATCAAATGCTACTGCACAGTGTTCTTGCAAAGTGCCTGCTCGGCTGCTGTCTACTCATCCACTCCTCTAGAGTACTCCTGATGCAACAGACATGCACTACTAGGGTGAAAGAGTAAAGCAGGGGGCAGCCTTATTTCTGACTTCACGTTGCTTTTATTACTTCAGCTACGGAACTGCTCACCGCTACTTAAACGCTGCTTAAGTAACCTTGCGTTCGTGTCACGTCTGCAGGTCTGCTGCGTGTCGTTTTACGTTCCCTTTTCTGCTCTTGCGGGAGTGTTAAGTTGCCGTGCGATAGCAGAACACCTTTCACCTCACCTTTTGATGACTGAGCAATTAATTGGAATTGCTCATAGGCTGAATTCCTTTGTGGATTTAACCGAACAAAAACTTTTTATCCTTCCTGCTCTATTTAGACTACCCAGATTCTGAATAGAATTAATCTCTCTCACCGCCTGCCCCCTGTATCTCTACCACCTTGTTGAAATCTTTCCACTTTATTGAGAACCCCAAAAGCAAAATTAATTCGAAAGCTGTTTAAAAATAGTAGTTCAATGATGCGTTTTTTTTTCCCCCCAAGTTACAAGCTGCACTTGAGTAGCAAACAATTATTTAATTTCAGCGTTAATTGTTGCAGGCTCATTAACTCTTAATTCCTAAACATTACTGACCTGTTTTTCTGTACGCCAAAACAAATATTAAGGTGTGTCTTTACAATTCTTCTTGAGTTTTCAAAATCTACTAATTGTCTGAATAGAATTAAGTTTAATCTTAATACAGGTTCTTTAGCAGGAAGGTTACACTTTCAAAAAATGGCATCGGGTATCTCAGGCTGGACATTCTGAAATGTGCGCGGTACCCGCAAGTCCTGGAGGGCATGTGTGAATGTGCGAACTGGCAGCAAGTGTTTCTGTTCAGTTGGAGCTGCTGGGTAAAGAGGCAGTCTTTCACATCATGGGAGGGCATGAAGTTAATACCAAGAGTTCGAACTGTCGAAAGTTTAAATAGCTGTGATGTAAGCATCCATGTTCTGTGCTGTTGGAAGTTTAGAAATGGATAAATTCAAAACCGCTGTGAAGCAGAACTCAGAGGGATGCGTGTGCCTCTTTCAAGGTCCTGAAATAAATAGGGACAGCAGTCATCTGTTTGATACTGTAAAGCCAGTTCATGCTGTGGGTGCATCTTCAAATTCCAGAATGTTTCCAGGGTTGAATCAAGACGTGCTTCTTCCACGGCTTCTGCAGAATTTTTCTTCTTTGGGCTTGAGGCCAAGTCCAGATGTTGATCAGAAATCACCATGTCTGGTGCTTTGTGCTGCTGTTTACTAGGCCTTTACTTAAACCCTCTTAGTAAGTGCTATTTGTCCAGACAAGCTAGGACGTGAATACAGGGATTGTAGTGAACTTTAGGTTGCTTAGATATGGCCCTGAGTTATTGTTATTGCATGTGGTAATTATTTCAGAAATCATGAACTCTCTGGGTGGAGATGATAAGCTATTTTTTCCAAATTTAAATCGTCCATGTAGAGTTGAACAAAACAGTGAAGCCACTTGTGAAGATGGCAGGAAAACTGTCCTGAATACCAAAAGTTGCTGATATCGAGTGTCAGAAAAAAACCCCGCAGGTAGGGGGTCTGGCTTTGTTTTGCATGCAGAAAGACTAAATCTGGGAAGCTTACAGATGCCAATGCTATTTAAAGAATGATCTCACTGAGACACAGGAGAGAATCATCCCTCCCCTTCCCCCCGCCATCCACTTGGGCTGCAGGTTGTTAGACATACCCCAGTCATTTGGCCAGACAGAAGGTTCAGTGCAGTTGCTTGGACAATACTTTGCTCTTTTCCTGTCTTGAGCTGGCGTTCATCTCAGCATCAAAAATACCCCACTACTGTGGTAAGAGGGCAGCCTGCGGAAAAGGTGCCACCTCTGCCTCCAGGCTCCTCTCTGGGCACTGACCTGGAAAAGTACTTTAAATGCATGACTGGGTATCGTCTGTTCACACAGAAAATTACATCTCATGCTTAAACCACTTCATTGGTTTGATGTTCAGGTTTTGTCTAGAGAAGCAGCTCAACACATTGTACTGAAATTCTCTGGATTGGCAAAAATCATGAATTTTAAAGCAGGATTTGTGGGGTGATTTATCTGGTATTTTTCTCCTGGATAAGCTTTGTAAACAGTCCAGTAAATATTTGAATTTGACTAAACTCAGTAAGAACAATGCAGTTTTATGTTTCTATACCAGTTGGCTATATATTAAAATACCAACGTGGAGAAGGGGTGGGTGCCAACTTACACTTGCATTCTCTTTTTTTTAAATTCACTTTACGTTATCAGAGTTTTGTTTGAATAATACACACAGCTGCATGAATATAATTAAAACCAGTAATTCTCAAACGTGTGCTGAAAGCTTTTCAGTGAGAAGCTTCAGCGTGTTTGTCCCCACTCTGAACACTACAGTTCGTATGGCTGCATGTTGCATTTGCAGACGAAAGCTCTGTGCTTTTCTACTAGGTTTACAAAACTAACCACAAATTTAGTTGACTTCTCAAAACTAGAAAACTGTTCAAATCTGTCTTATTTGCCTGAAACGGAATGTTACTTAAATAACAGCATGGATAGGTGTAGGAAATGAACTAGTATTACTTGAGTTACAATTTAATCCACTCCATGATTGAATTAAGCTCTCATGCAATAGCAGTCTGAGTCTTTCCTATTTGGCAAATTGCAAAGTAAACTCAAGTTTACCTTGAGATGTAAAGAAAAATGAAAGGCTTTAATAAAAAACTTCAGAAAATCTTTTTAGCACGAAACCAACATTTCGGTGCTGCCCGACTCTTCAGTTTTGGACCAAGCGATAGCAAAGAAAACCAGCTGTGACTCAGACTTGCTGGGTGTATGTGTTTTTAGAGATTGCAAGGACACCTAAGCACATCAGTTCTGTACCCACTGCATAACCCTGGAATGTCCTGCAAAGCTTTTTATAGGAAGTGCTAATTTAAAGTAATATTCAGCAAAGGATTCCCAGTCTTCTGCAGGGCTGGCGTATTAACAGGAAGTCAAGTGGAGGAACTTCAGTGAGAAGTTACCTATAAATAATTGTCCTGTTGAAGAATGCAAGATAGGAAGACAAGAGTTTATTCCTTATTTTGATGCTGGTGTTGGAAATAATTCGTAAGAGAAGTCCTGGAGCTATTCTCTGTTCTTGCTCACTGATGGTGTAGTTCATGGGCCTTAACAAAACGGGGAGGGACAAGGAGTTCTGAGGTAGCTGTGCTTCAGATTGTCTTCTCTGCTTTTGGTTTAGAAGAAATCCTGTATACACATTGGAGTGGGCTGGTTGCAGTAGACAGGCTGAAAGAAGCCTGGAGGATTGGACTTGTTCAAAATCTCCATTAGAAAAAGTTGACTGAAGGAGGAATTACAGAATTTATGCTTGACCTAGTAAAGAACTAATAAGGTACCTGCCAGAAGCTGCTTAGAAACAGGCTTAGCCATGTTCTGTGAACAAGGAGCTTAGAAACATGCCTTTGCTCTTCCAGTGTCTAACTGGTTGGAAGGACTTAAGATTTGCAGTGCCTAAGGTGTGCTGCTGTACAGAAAACTATCTTCTAATCTCAGTGCTTTGTCGTGAATGCATTGAGAAATTTATAACGTGTGAGCTAACTTAACTGAAGAAAGCACAGGACCTACCTGCATCCTGGAAGGAAGTCAGGAAGGAAGGTTGGACCTTTATTTCGCAGACAGCTTATATTTGGCAATTTTGGGTCATGTCTTAGATTGTGATCGTAGGTTCTCTGCAAGTAATTGAACTGCTGTGCCTTCCTGTTCATATTCCGCAAAACTGCACATTCCAGGATTTTCTTTACAGAAACTGTCTTTGATCTTTCTGTAGGGAACATGATCAATATCTATTTTTCCTGCAGAAGGGTTTCCTCATTTGAATCCCATTTACTGCTTGCTCACCACTGTTTGAACTGCGTATTATTTTTGATGTCTTGGCCTTGCCAGCAGTCCACAAGTTGTCTTGCTGTTCTAAAAAGGCACTTGGCACTACGTCATGTAGCACTCTTCTTTTTTGGTTGTGACACTGTGTTTTGCACGTACCTTGAAATCGTGATATGAAGGAGAAAGGACGATTCAGTGAAAATAAACCACTTTCCTGAAGGAATCTTAAATGAAAGTATAAATATTCATAAGAGACTAAAGCAGAAGCCACAGTAGTTTCTTCCAGAAGTTTTCATTCCAAGAATACCTGCAGTACCTGAAACTGTGTATGTGCAAGAGCTGTACTGGGTGCCAGTATTTAAATTTTGGATATAAATAACATACTGGTGTTAGAAATTAATGCTGGGAGATCAGAATGCATCTGGGTCCCAGTAAGCGTGGTACCAAATTACGTTACAGGAACAGGAATGCTTTTGCTTTATAATGAATTCTCCCAAAACAGTATTTGAGAATATGCTCAGTGCCTGTACTGTCAAAATGTGGTTTGGACTCTCCGGTACAATGCTGACAGTTCATATCCTGCAGCTTTGGTCACTCTCTTCTTTTCACACATGTGAAAAGACTATTTACAATAGCGTAGATTGTTATATTTGCAACGGGTACGAATAAAGATCAGATTTTCTGGTTTTCACTCTTCACCTAATATTGTAATGGTAATTTTAAATGGTTCTGAATTGGGGAAGGGCAGGGGGGAAGCGGGTGAAATACTTCTTGAAACAGTAAGTACAAACTCCATTCAGTATTCTGTGTATCACGGCCCGTTCACATAAGCTCAGGGCTCTGGAATTTCTTACAGTTTTAAGTTTGAAGCCTGGAACTCTGCTTGCTTTTCACTGCTTTTTGCCACCTGTAAAACCACATTTTTCAGAACAGGAGATATGGCAAATGCCAGTGGGTAGCTTTTTAGTGTGTCCAATGAAATATTAACCGCTGTGTAAAAGGAATACTATTTTATATAGCAACATGAGCAGCAAAACTCAGGGTGCTAACCTTGAACATACTGATTTGATAAACTTCCTGATACCTAACTTTAGTAGAGTAAGGAAAAACACCCCAGTTGTTTCATCTAGTCTGCATTCCCATCAGCTGCCGGGTCATACTGACCAGCGTATTTTCTTTTCTCGTTTATTCAGGATATATGACTCAAATCCTGAACAACCAAATATATTCCAGGTGGAGCAGCTGGAACGTCTCAAGAAGGAGCTACCAGAGTTGAAAAGCTGCGTGTGTCCCACAGTTAGCCACTTCAAATCCATATCTCCATGTAAATGTCGTCACAGTTGCCTGGAAGAGAAGGCTGTAGATAACCTGAAGAGTGTTCAGATGCAAAAGGACTGATGCTAGGCAGAATGCTGGTTTGTATCTGCTGAATTTCCATCAGTGGAACAGTGCTGTCGATGCCTTTATGTTTGTTTGGTTGAAGTCCCCAGATAGCAATAACTCTGTTCCTCCTTCCTGACAGTACTTGTTAAATACATTTCAAACAATGTTGAAATGTTCAGCCAGTTGCAGTTATTGTTCCAGTTTATGTACACAAGTTTTAACTTGCTCCCTATAATCAAGTCTCAAATCTTGAAAATTAAGTATTGACACTTAAGTGTGCTTTTTAAAAATTAAAAAAAAAAAAATTAAGCAGGCCGAGGATTGGAAGCTC